GCCTTCCTTGATTACACATCTGCATTTGACTCTGTTTCCAGGTCACTCTTGCTTAGTAAACTTGCTGAGAGCTGAGAGCTGGACAAATAAGTGGTTGCATTCCTATTTTTCTGATAGGAGGCAGTACACCGTCTACAATGGAAAATCCTCCATTACATCACTTACTTTAGCTGGTGTTCCTCAAGGTGCTGTTCTTTCTCCTTTTCTGTTTTCTTTTATCTTACATGACTTGCCTCATTCTGACGCAGCCACTTTTGTTAAGTATGCTGATGACCTATCTGTTTCTATGCCTGTCAACTCTCAGTCAGATTGTTCCAAATTAAAAACTTTCTGTCGAAAATCAGTCAGTGGTCCTCTTCAAACGGACTTAAGCTTAATCCGTCTAAATGTCAGGTAGTCAATTTCACTTTCAGACGTAAACGTGACCTACAACAACTAGCTAGCTCACATGGCCCCACTATCTTTGACGGCATAGAGGTTGAAAATACATCTAATGTCAAGTACCTTGGACTGAGTATTTCCACCGATCTTTCCTGGTCCTCCCACATCTTTCTAGTTACTAGAAAGATGTTTCGCTTAACGTTCTACATTAGGAAATTTAGGCAGTCTGGCATAAAGCAGTCTTTGCTTTCTCAGTTTGTCAATTCTTGTATTCTACCCATCCCCCTTTACTGCTCCCCATTAATCATTCCTGGACTACTTAAGAAAGACTTTGCTTTGCTGAGAAGGGCAGGCACTAAAAGTCGTTAGTAGGGCAAGTGGGATATCTTTAAACCAACTGGTTAACACTATTGTGGATAAACATATAATGTCATGTAAGAAACTAGCGAATACAATATTGTCGGACCCCGAACATCCTCTCTATACGCAGCTGTCTCCTTGCATTTCTTCATCTGGTAGAACTAGAAGCAGCTATAGGCGGCTATATGCTAGGACTACCAAATACAAAAACTCCACAATACCATATCTGGCACAGCTGTTATGTGGTGATGAGAAATCCGTTAGGTATGAGACGATCAACCTACTGTGACACTCTAACGAATAGTTCCCATTAGTTTTTGTTTTCCTTTCCTCGTTACTACTACACTGTTGTTCACATCTTCTATTGCACACTAATTATATATTTCATATCCTGTGGTGCATTGTTTAAAATGTAAACGCAACGCTGTTCTTTCTATTTCTTTTTATTTATCTTTATTTTTAGTTGTTGCTTTTTGATTTTAAAATATTATAAAATTTATGAGGTAATTAGATGCAACATTTTCTATATTTTTATTTATTTATGTTTTGATTACAGCTTGATTCCACACCGTATTTTTGGTACAGGTATGGAATTTTCAGCATATGATATCGGTAGCCCAAATTTTGCATGTCGACCATAGATATCAGGTGTGCGTCGGTGGCAGGGGATCGAACCTCGGACCATGTTAATGGTCAGCGAGAGTCCTAACCACTGTGCCACCGATGCACAGTGGTTTGTAAGGGTTAGTTATGTTTTTACGAGTTGATCACGGATTGATATATCAGTTAGAGAACCATTGAAAACCAGGGAGTACAGGACAGCTGCTGTTTTATCCTAGTTTGGAAATCATAGGAAGTACGCACCCACTGAGATTCGAACCCAGGACCTTCCGGTTACAAGGCAAGCTCATATACCATTCAGCCATTGGGACCCGATTCAAAGGCTCATGAATTCTAACTTCTACCAATTCGTGATTTAGAGTGACCCCAACCATTGTCGTTGGTGGGACATCCATTCACACACGTGACATCTAATTGGTCACGACTTCTCACTAGAACTCAGGAAACTCCAACCTGTAGAAAGTCACCAGGAAGCATCAGATTAATTTTCTATAGTTTTGGTTTGTAAGGATGATTCCCAAACTAGGATGAAACAGTAGCTGTCCAGTACTCCCTAGATTTTAATGGTTCTATAACTGATATCAATTCGTGATGAACGCGTAGATGCAATATTGTAATGTACGCTGAAAATTCGATACCTGTACCACAAATAATGTTTGGAATAAAGCTGTTACTATGATTATTAAGAACAAATCACCCTACCCTCACCTCACAACACCTACCCTCCCAGATACATCCATTCAGCGAAACATAACGACCTAACTAACTATATGAACGGCCTGGTGTAAGTCACTGATTATCCCCATATACAAGAAGGGAGACAAGTCTTCCTGTGATAATCACAGAGGGATTAGCTTGACTAATATAGTATCTAAAGTCTTAGGCTCAATAATCATGCGTAGACTGAGTGGTGCTCGGGAAGCACAAACACGAGAGAGCCAGGCAGGCTTTAGACCAGGAAGAGGGTGTATTGATCATATCTTCACCCTCCGACAGATTCTAGAACATAGGCATTCCTACCGGCGTCCAACAGTCATTATATTTCTTGACCTAAAGGCAGCATTCGACTCTGTCGATCGGGAAGTTCTCTGGAGATGCTTGGCTGTAAAGGGAATTCCAAGAAAATATATTGCACTGATTAAGGCACTCTATTCGTACTCATACAGCCAGGTGAGGGCTTACGGCGAGCTGTCATCTGAACTGATGACGACCAGTGGTGTCCGTCAAGGATGCCCATTATCTCCTTTTCTATTCAACTTCATCATAGATGTGTTAATGGACTTAACCCTAGGTGACTTCAGCGACTCAGGGATTGACTTGCTACCGGGGAATAATCTCGTTGACTTGGAATATGCAGACGATATAGTCCTTCTAGGCGAAGACGCTGACGAAATGCAGAGTCTTCTAAACACCTTGAGCCGCAATCTACGAATGTTTGGCATGCGATTCGCTCCCGCCAAATGCAAGATGATGTTACAGGACTGGACTACATCGACGCCTAGTTTAAAAATAGGAAGTGAAGTGGTAGAGCACGTTGACCGCTTCACTTATTTGGGAAGTACCATCAGCCCCAACGGGCTGATCTCTGACGAAATCTCAGCACGAATACAAGGGGCTCGTTTCGCATTTATTAGTTTACGCCGACTCTGGCGTAGACGAGATGTTCGACTATCGACCAAAGGGCGGGTGTACTGCTCATCAGTCCGCTCCGTCCTCCTTTATGGTTGTGAGACCTGGCCACTGAGAGTGGAAGACATGAAAAGGCTAGCTGTCTTTGATCATAGGTGCCTGCGTTCTATTTCCCGTGTAAAGTGGCATAATAAGGTGAGCAACATGGAGGTTAGGCGTAGAGTTCTAGGTAAACAGGGGAAATCAATCGACGAAGTCGTGAAGCTACAAAGACTGAGATGGTTAGGACATGTGTTACGTATGCCAAGCCATCGCCTCCCTCGACGAGCAATGTTAGCGGATATAGGGTCAGGCTGGAAAAAAGCTAGCGGCGGTCAAACAAAAACTTGGCACCAGTCAATGAAATCCACAACAGTTGGTCTAAGCCACGTAGGAAGGTGTAGACTTCCAGGCTGGGGTCCTCGGGACGGTAAAAATCTATGGTTGGAAACAATTGGTGACATGGCTCAAAACCGTTCTCAGTGGCGCAGATGCATCCACTCCCTGTGACTTATGATCTTCAATGAAACTGTTTTGTATTTCTTTATTACTCCTTTGTCTCACACCTCTGCTCACTGTTTCTATTATGCTTTTCTTGTACTTTCTTCTCTTGCTTCGCGTGCTACACGGAATGTGGCGACTTGAACTTCCGCACATTTGTGCAAAGTTCTATGTCGAAAACAGACAGACAGACATGAACGGCCTGCCAGCCCGCCAACCAACACCGCCACCACTCGACTCGCCTTACTACTCATCACGACCTACACGAATACAACGTCATCCCCTTCAACAACAATACCTACCCACGTTTCCTACTCCTTCGATCAAGCCACAAACACCTCTCACGCACCTATCATAATCTTTCTTACTCAACATACCACAAATGTCACATTTCACATCCACTTCAGTCAGCCAGCTTCCTGCTAATTCCCTTAAAACATTCACACAGCCACCCATATAGAATATTCAACCTACTCGTCCACTCACTCATCACAACACACCACCACGACCAGCATCAGCACCTTCATCCGACAATTCAGTCTCATATCAATGACACCACACCCTCCCTCCTCTTACTACACCACTTGTCCACCACACAATTCTTTCTCACTCCCCACAGGCTTCTCTCAAAACTTAAAAATAACATCCTTTTTGACCAGACACAACATCTCCTTCATCTTTTCCTTCAACCAAATATCACCCTATCCTATCCACTCTCTACATTCTCCTCAACTCAAATGCACTTCCTACAACGCTGATGCAAAATGCAAACACACACACACGCACATAACCACCTCTATTTATTTTATTTCATTCAAACGCAAAAATACTTGGTACAATATGGCACCAAGAAGATGCGCCACACTATAATAATAAAACAATATAGATTCAAAGTAGAAATATAAGTAGAGAACGGATGAAGAACTTCATCTGGAAGGAAAATAGTTATGCTTAACAAGTTCAAACAATATTCCTTAACTATCATCGGGAAGGGAAGAAAGAAGGAAATTGCAACACGTCCGCCATTGATTACGATTCTTGACCATATCCGATAACGTTTCGAGCTATCTCACAGACCCCAACCAGGGAGTCGTGACGCACCAATATCCTTCATCCCACGACGCCACAACACGGACTAACAACCCCTCCGGCTTTTCTATCCCCTCCTAGGGCTGGCTAGCGAACAGAGACCTGTACGGAAGCCTCCTCTGGGATGACATTCGCAGCACATGTCCAAGCCACCGGAGCCTGTGTTTCTAGATGACGACACTCAGTGGATGGTGTTCTCCACTGTGTTCAAACACACGCCACCGAACCTCAGAATTACTCCCACGATGATACCATCGGACGCAAGCAATCCTGATGAGACAGCGATGATCGAACACGCAGAGCCGCCACACATCCTCAGCTCGGAGAGGCCAGGTTTCACAGGCGTAGAGTAGGGCAGCCCGCACCGAAGCATTTTATACCCGATCTTTGACAGCCAGGCTAACGTCTCGACGGCGCCAGAGGTGGCTCAAGTTGATGTATGCCACCCTAGCCTTCATTATACAGTTGGAAATCTCATCCGTCACCCCTCCACCAGCACTCACACAACTACCCAGGTACACAAACTTATCAACAAATTCAAGCAGTTCACCAGCAAGAGTGAGTGCAGGTACAGGCTCCCGCCAATCTTGTAACAGTACTTTGTACTTAGACGGCGCAAAGGACATAACATACTTACAGACTTTTGATGTGATTTTGTTCTCTGAGCTGGATAGTTAGTTTGCGAAGCTTTCATCACCTTACTGGGTGACATCTTCAGCGCATACTTCAAATTGAAGTGAGCTTTTAGGTTTCTCCACGAGTTTATTAATCATTCCTCCTGGTGACCTTGGACGTGATTGGTTGTTTATGTATGTTTTCACACCTTCTAGGTGTGAAAGAAACTTCACACACGATTGGCCAAAGTTCAAGTCACAGAAACAATCAGTTCCAACACAAGTAACCTAGAAGGTGTGAAAACATACATAAACAACCAATCACGTCCAAGGTCACCAGGAGGAATGATTAATAAACTCGTGGAGAAACCTAAAAGCTCACTTCAATTTGAAGTATGCGCTGAAGATGTCACCCAGTAAGGTGATGAAAGCTTCGCAAACTAACTATCCAGCTCAGAGAACAAAATCACATCAAAATTATCCACCTGAGCTACAAATCTTCTCTATCATATACTTACAGACACTGGTCGCCAACTGATAAAGTGAGATTTGGGCAACCTGCATGCTACATCGCACAGTAAGACGACATCGTCCGCGTACTCGAGGTCGAAAAGTCCATCTCCAGGTAGGAGATGTACACCACCTTCACACACATCCTTCAGAGCTGACACCAGAATGTCATCCATGGCAAAGTTAAAGAGAAATGGAGAGATTAGGCAACCCTGTCTAACCCCACTATTGGTTGGGAACAGTGATGATAGTTCGTTGTATGCACTCACTCTACCTGAGGTATTTCTGTATAGGCCTTTCAAGATGTTAACAAATTTCCCAGGTACACCTCTCTCTAACAGACAGTTCCAGAGCACAGTTCTGCCCAACGAATCGAAGGCAGCCCTAATATCAAGAAACACAACGATCGTTGGCCTGCAATACGTGTAGTGGTGTTCAGACAACTGACGAATAGGGAACACATGATCAATGCATCCACGGCCCGAACGAAACCCAGCCTACTCTTCGTGAATCAATTCCCTCACGTATTTTGCACAGCCTGCGAAGCAACACACCAGCCAATATTTTAGACGCAACTGGTAGCACAATGATACATCTAAAATTGTCACATGGATTACACTGATGATAATGGCTTCCTTCCACATTGATTACACACTATAAGTCTCCCATACCTTCCTGAAAAATCCAGTTAGATCCGCTGCGAGAGTATCGCCAGTATCTGTAAAATATGAAATGGTGTATATCACCTGGCCCGGGTGCCGCATACCGTGTCAACACCTCCATTGCGTTAGGGAACTCCGCATCGCTTCGTGGGTCGGAAATGAAAAATCAAGCATCACTGGAGATAGTGACAGCAGATATTAAAATTGGTGGTCAGGTAAACTCTTTCTCGAACAACAAGACCAGGGTTCCAGGCGTATTTTCAGCCTAGAAATAGACATCCCATCAAGTGTAACTCAAATTAGATTCAGCTCAGAAAAACCAACACGAAAAACATCAAGACCACGAAGTCTTATTCCACATAACCACAATAGTTTCTAACAATCCTCGGAAACTTACACAAAATTATCATCACCACAACCCTTCCCATACATATAACAAGCGTCAACAATCAATCACCAGCCACATCAGTCAATCAATCCACAGGGGAGAACAAGCCACTATCCCCCCACCACATCTCACACCACCTCAACCACTAGCTCAAACATCTCACTCACTCACTCACTCAATCAATCACTCTCACACACACTCATTCTCTAAACCGTCGTTGTCAAAGTTACTTCAACCAAGAAAACTCATCATCCCTCGCTGAACATACCTGAAAGTCGAATGTCATCCACCTCATTGTGTCAGACGAAACACAATCCGCCGTATTCTCCGTCAACACCAACACCAACACCAATCTGGCCTGCCTTCCGCCGCCTCACAATCATCCCTCCACCAACGTCCTCCTATCAGCACTTACACTACCCACCCACCAACCAATCTCATACAATCCATCCATCCTCCTGTCATGGCCACCCTCTGAAAATTACAAAAAACGACTTCCTCTTAGTTATGTCTCGTCACCAAAAATAAATATATAAATAACAATAAGAATTAGAATAAGAATATTACCCAGGGATCAGATTGTATCTTTCCGCATCACATAGGACAGGGATAACAATTCATCATCAACATTAAAAGAAAATCAATCCATCAACAACCTACTCATCACTCGAATACGCCGTCATCATCGACATCACCACAACCAACAACACAATGTCGCCTTACTCCACATCATCATCATCATCACCATCATTATCATCACCATCATCACCAGGATCATTTCTACCACTCCTCGGAAACTTACACAAAATTCTCATCCCCACAACACGTACCATACATATAACAAGCGTCAACAATCAATCACCAGTCACATCAGTCAATCAATCCACAGGGGAGAACAAGCCACCATCCCCCCACCACATCTCACACCACCTCAACCACTAGCTCAAACATCTCACTCACTCACTCACTCTCACACACACTCATTCTCTAAACCGTCGTTGTCAAAGTTACTTCAACCAAGAAAACTCATCATCCCTCGCTGAACATACCTGAAAGTCGAATGTCATCCACCTCATTGTGTCAGACGAAACACAATCCACCGAATTCTCCGTCACCACCAGCACCGACACCAACACGTACACCAACACCAATCTGGCCTGCCTTCCGCCGCCTCACAATCATCCCCCCCCCAACGTCCTCCTATCAGCACTTACACTACCCACCCACCAACCAATCTCATACAATCCATCCATCCTCCTGTCATGGCCACCCTCTGAAAATTACAAAAAACGACTTCCTCTTAGTTATGTCTCGTCACCAAAAATAAATATATAAATAACAATAAGAATTAGAATAAGAATATTACCCAGGAATCAGATTGTATCTTTCCGCATCACATAGGACAGGGATAACAATTCATCATCAACATTAAAAGAAAATCAATCCATCAACAACCTACTCATCACTCGAACACGCCGTCATCATCGACATCACCACAAACAACAACACAATGTCGCCTTACTCCACATCGTCATCATCATCGTCTTCACCATCATCACCAGGATCATTTCTACCACTCCTCGGAAACTTACACAAAATTCTCATCCCCACAACACGTACCATACAAATACCAAGCGTCAACAATCAATCACCAGCCACATCAGTCAATCAATCCACAGGGGAGAACAAGCCACCATCCCCCCACCACATCTCACACCACCTCAACCACTAGCTCAAACATCTCACTCACTCACTCAATCAATCAATCAATCACTCTCACACACACTCATTCTCTAAACCGTCGTTGTCAAAGTTACTTCAACCAAGAAAACTCATCATCCCTCGCTGAACATACCTGAAAGTCGAATGTCATCCACCTCATTGTGTCAGACGAAACACAATCCGCCGTATTCTCCGTCAACACCAACACCAACACCAATCTGGCCTGCCTTCCGCCGCCTCACAATCATCCCTCCACCAACGTCCTCCTATCAGCACTTACACTACCCACCCACCAACCAATCTCATACAATCCATCCATCCTCCTGTCATGGCCACCCTCTGAAAATTACAAAAAACGACTTCCTCTTAGTTATGTCTCGTCACCAAAAATAAATATATAAATAACAATAAGAATTAGAATAAGAATATTACCCAGGGATCAGATTGTATCTTTCCGCATCACATAGGACAGGGATAACAATTCATCATCAACATTAAAAGAAAATCAATCCATCAACAACCTACTCATCACTCGACCACGCCGTCATCATCGACATCACCACAACCAACAACACAATGTCGCCTTACTCCACATCATCATCATCATCACCATCATTATCATCATCATCATCACCAGGATCATTTCTACCACTCCTCGGAAACTTACACAAAATTCTCATCCCCACAACACGTACCATACATATAACAAGCGTCAACAATCAATCACCAGTCACATCAGTCAATCAATCCACAGGGGAGAACAAGCCACCATCCCCCCACCACATCTCACACCACCTCAACCACTAGCTCAAACATCTCACTCACTCACTCACTCAATCACTCTCACACACACTCACTCTCTAAACCGTCGTTGTCAAAGTTACTTCAACCAAGAAAACTCATCATCCCTCGCTGAACATACCTGAAAGTCGAATGTCATCCACCTCATTGTGTCAGACGAAACACAATCCGCCGTAGTCTCCGTCAACACCAACACCAACACCAACACCAATCTGGCCTGCCTTCCGCCGCCTCACAATCATCCCTCCACCAACGTCCTCCTATCAGCACTTACACTACCCACCCACCAACCAATCTCATACAATCCATCCATCCTCCTGTCATGGCCACCCTCTGAAAATTACAAAAAACGACTTCCTCTTAGTTATGTCTCGTCACCAAAAATAAATATATAAATAACAATAAGAATTAGAATAAGAATATTACCCAGGAATCAGATTGTATCTTTCCGCATCACATAGGACAGGGATAACAATTCATCATCAACATTAAAAGAAAATCAATCCATCAACAAGCTACTCATCACCCGACCACGCCGTCATCATCGCCATCACCACAACCAACAACACAATGTCGCCTTACTCCATATCATCACCATCATCATCATCACCAAGATCATTTCTACCACTCCTCGGAAACTTACACAAAATTCTCATCCCCACAACACGTACCATACAAATACCAAGCGTCAACAATCAATCACCAGCCACATCAGTCAATCAATCCACAGGGGAGAACAAGCCACCGTCCCATCACCACATCTCACACCACCTCAAACATATCACTCACTCACTCAATCACTCTCACACACACTCATTCTCTAAACCGTCGTTGTCAAAGTTACTTCAGCCAAGAAAACTCATCATCCCTCGCTGAACATACCTGAAAGTCGAATGTCATCCACCTCATTGTGTCAGACGAAACACAATCCACCGAATTCTCCGTCACCACCAGCACCGACACCAACACGTACACCAACACCAATCTGGCCTGCCTTCCGCCGCCTCACAATCTTCCCCCCCCCCACGTCCTCCTATCAGCACTTACACTACCCACCCACCAACCAATCTCATACAATCCATCCATCCTCCGGTCGTGGCCACCCTCTGAAAATTACAAAAAACGACTTCCTCTTAGTTATGTCTCGTCACCAAAAATAAATATATAAATAACAATCAGAATTAGAATAAGAATATTACCCAGGAATCAGATTGTGTCTTTCCGCATCACATAGGACAGGGATAACAATTCATCATCAACATTAAAAGAAAATCAATCCATCAACAAGCTACTCATCACCCGACCACGCCGTCATCATCGACATCACCACAACCAACAACACAATGTCGCCTTACTCCACATCATCATCATCATCATCACCATCATCATCATCATCATCACCAGGATCATTTCTACCACTCCTCGGAAACTTACACAAAATTCTCATCCCCACAACACGTACCATACAAATACCAAGCATCAACACTCAATCACCAGCCACATCAGTCAATCAATCCACAGGGGAGAACAAGCCACCATCCCCCCACCACATCTCACACCACCTCAACCACTAGCTCAAACATCTCACTCACTCACTCACTCAATCAATCAAACAATCACTCTCACACACACTCATTCTCTAAACCGTCGTTGTCAAAGTTACTTCAACCAAGAAAACTCATCATCCCTCGCTGAACATACCTGAAAGTCGAATGTCATCCACCTCATTGTGTCAGACGAAACACAATCCACCGAATTCTCCGTCACCACCAGCACCGACACCAACACGTACACCAACACCAATCTGGCCTGCCTTCCGCCGCCTCACAATCATCCCCCCCCCCACGTCCTCCTATCAGCACTTACACTACCCACCCACCAACCAATCTCATACAATCCATCCATCCTCCTGTCATGGCCACCCTCTGAAAATTACAAAAAACGACTTCCTCTTAGTTATGTCTCGTCACCAAAAATAAATATATAAATAACAATAAGAATTAGAATAAGAATATTACCCAGGAATCAGATTGTATCTTTCCGCATCACATAGGACAGGGATAACAATTCATCATCAACATTAAAAGAAAATCAATCCATCAACAAGCTACTCATCACCCGACCACGCCGTCATCATCGCCATCACCACAACCAACAACACAATGTCGCCTTACTCCATATCATCACCATCATCATCATCACCAAGATCATTTCTACCACTCCTCGGAAACTTACACAAAATTCTCATCCCCACAACACGTACCATACAAATACCAAGCGTCAACAATCAATCACCAGCCACATCAGTCAATCAATCCACAGGGGAGAACAAGCCACCATCCCATCACCACATCTCACACCACCTCAAACATATCACTCACTCACTCAATCACTCTCACACACACTCATTCTCTAAACCGTCGTTGTCAAAGTTACTTCAGCCAAGAAAACTCATCATCCCTCGCTGAACATACCTGAAAGTCGAATGTCATCCACCTCATTGTGTCAGACGAAACACAATCCACCGAATTCTCCGTCACCACCAGCACCGACACCAACACGTACACCAACACCAATCTGGCCTGCCTTCCGCCGCCTCACAATCTTCCCCCCCCCACGTCCTCCTATCAGCACTTACACTACCCACCCACCAACCAATCTCA